GATGTCCACTTCTCCACCCTCAACATTCTTGCAGATAAAATGATGACAAATGGCTATGTGTTTTGTGTGGTCATGGAACATTGTGTTACTCATCAGAGCTATTGCAGACTGATTGTTGACTAGAAGGGGGGTAGGCTGTGCACTTGTGTCCATATCTAGTTCACATAGTAGGGTCCATAGCCAGAGTATTTCTTTTGCAGCTGCTGAGACTGCCATGTATTTGGCTTCCATGCTAGACAGAGCAATGGAGGTCTGTTTCTTTGATGACCAGCTAATAGCTCCACTGGACAGAGTAAAGACATAGTTTGTTACAGAACAATGGTCATTTACATCTGCAGCCCAGCCAGCATCAGCATAGCCTATGAGAGAACTTGCAGAGTCTCTCATGTACTGTAAATGCATGTCAATGGTTTTTCATAGGTATCTGTAAACACATTTGAGTGTGGTCCAGTGTTGGTCACCAGGGGTAGCCATGTGTCTGCTAAGCACACCCACAGTGAATGTGAGGTCTGGCCAGGTAGCCAGCATAGCATACATTAATGCTCTGAGAGCACTTTGATACTCATGTAGGTTGTGAAGGGGGGCATCAAGTTTCTCTAGTTTTAAATTCTGCTTGATAGGTGTAGACACCATGCAGCCATCCTGCATACCCATATGGTCAAGGATGAGTTCTACATAACAGTGCTGAGATAGCTCTATGGTTCCCTTGTCACAATCTTGTATAATTTCCATGTTGAGGATCCACTGAGCCCCACCTAAGTCAGAGACTTTGTACTCAGCTGATAGCTGGACTTTGAGGCAGTCAATAGCCTCATGGCTCTTTGAGAGGATCAGTTTGTCATCAATGTAAACAGCAACTATAATTAGGATCCCATTTTTGACTTTGTAGAAAAGGCTGTGGTCAGTGTCACTGTGTGTGAACCTGAGAGATTCAAAAACTTCTCATAGTCAACTGTACCAAGCTTTCAGAGCCTGTTTTAGTCTGTAGAGAGCACAATAAAGGCACCATATGACATCACTTAAGTCTTGGAAGGCAGGGGGAGGACAAAGATAAATCTCCTCCTTGAGTTTTCCATTCAAGAAAGTGGATTTCACATCCATCTGGTGAATCTCCCAGTCATACTTAGCAGCAAGAGCAAGTAGAGCTCTGATAGTGGCAAACTTAGCTACAGGTGTGAATGTCTCTGTATAGTCAATGCCATGGACCTGCATGAATCCCTTTGCAATGAGTCATGCCTTGTACTTATTGATGTTGCCTGTAGGGCCTTGCTTTATTTTGTAGACCCATTTTGAATCTATAACTTTTCTGTCAGGTGGGCACAGCACCTCATATAATCCAATAGCATGAAATGTCACCAATTCATCAGCCATCGCTGTGTACCAGCAGTCAGCATCAGTTCATCGCATTGCATCTGCAAATGTCATAGGTTCATCATCACATGTTGAGCTTGTTTGGTATGTGGTAACATTTTCCCTTTCTGGGTCATTGCCACTCTGCCTTGCCATTGCCACATCCTTGCATGTGCTCCTCTCTGTCTCTGTGCCCTCTCCCTCTATCTCAGCATCCTCCATGGATGGTAGGGTATGTTTTTTATATGCATTGATGAAATAGCACTGATTGTCATCTTGAATAGGTGCCTTTTTAGTTTGGGATGACCTGCAAAGTGCCAAGGGGGGAATTGGGATTGGATAAGGACCAGGAGGCCCAGGCATTGAGCCAGGGTGATGTACAGCCACAGACAGCACTTGGCATCAGTGCTCAGAGGGGTGTTCTGCTTCATTATGCTCATGGTTCAACCCACTAATGTTTTTCTCTGTTTTAATATGAGTTTTAGCCTCAGAGCTTGAGCAGCTGCAATCAGCAGGGATCGGCATGCCATTGTCAGCCACTGTCTTGTTGTTTTGACTACCCCAGGTGTGTCCTTCACCATTTCCACCATCTGACTCATTTTCAGAGTCATCTGAGCTCAGTTTGCTCTCTGGTAGTTCAGCCTCCCTTCAAATCCCTTGTGCATGAGTTGTGGGTGCTGTATGCTTCATTTCCTTAGTTGCCACATCTATCTGGACTTGAGACATGTCTGCACCATCCCCTTCATTGAAGATGGCATCATGTGTTTCAACAATTTGCCCAGTAGGACAATGTATGCATAGGTACACCTTCTTATTCTCTGAGTATCCCAAGAGTGCACACTCAAGGGACTTAACATCCAGCTTTTGACACTTTTCCTCTGGAACATGGATGTGAGCTGTGCATCCAAAAATTCAAAGATGAGTGACCAACAGTTTGTTCCTGTGTACACCTCATAGGGGGTATTGCCTTGCTTGAGCACTTTAGTCAGTAGTCTATTTATTATGTGTGCTGTGTGCAGTATGGCATCCCCCCAATACTTGTTGGGTAGTCTGGCATCACTGAGCATAGCACACATGGACTCAATGAGCATTTGATTCATCTGTTCAGCTACACCATTTTCCTGTGGTGTGTAGGCATTCATCTTTTCATAATGAATTCCTTTGAACTATATTCCCCACCACCATCGCTTTGAAAGTAGTTAGGGCATTGTCCAGTCTCTGCTTCAGCTCTTGCAAAGTATTCCTTGGTGAGTCCAAAGACTTCATCCTTTGTCTTGATTAACTTAACTACCAGGTGGTGTGAGTGTCTGTCAATAAATGTTATGAAGTACCAATGACTGGAGTGTCCTGCAGTCTCCATAGGTCTGCACATGTCCATGTAGGTCCTGTGCAGTAGACTTGGATTTTCTACACCTGACTTCAACAGTATAGGTTCCCAATGCTGTTTGCCATCGTGGCAGGCCTTGCATGAAGTCATGTTATGCTCCTTTGGTCCTGTCAGCTCCATCCCAGACACCATGCCTTTTTCAGGTAGTCTTAGGACATTTCTGATATTTGTGTGTCCAAGTCGATGATGCCAGGTGGTTAATGTAGCCTTAGATGTTGTTGTACATGAGGTGAAAGCCATGAAGGGTTCATCTGGATTTAGTGCATCAGGAGTATTGATAATGTATGCAGAATGACTTCTGGATACAATGCTTGCTTCAAGTATGTAGAGGGACTTTTGTTTAGTAGCCAGAGCTACAACCTTGTTGTTGGCATGCACCCTACACTCTCACTCTCCAAAGGTGACTAGAAGTCCCTTTGAGGCTAGTGCAGGCACTGACATGAGGTTTGTGTCTAGGTCTGGAACATAATAGACATCTCAGAGGATAGTCTCGCTTGTGCAGCCATCCTCAAGGTGCATGGAGACTTTGATTCTCCATTTCCTGATAGCTTGTATGGTTCTACCATCACCAATGATCACTGGCTGTGAGGGTGACATTTTGTTGAATGTTGCAAACCATGAGTGTTGACAGCACATGTGTGCTGAGGCACTGGAGTCGACTACCCACTCTGACACACTGGTCTCAGGGCATGCACATGCTACAAACAGGCAAAGAGGTTGGTTATCCTCTTCTGTGACTGTTGCAACCTTGGCTGTTAACTCTGCTTTGTCTGCCTTCTTTTTGTAGCATTCATCCTCTGTATGTCCAGTTTTGCCACAGGGGGCATAATTTCACTTCTTCTTCTTTTTCTTCTTGTCCATTGCTTTTGACTTTTTTCCTGGGTTAGTCTTAGCAGCAAGGGCAGAATGTGCTGTCAAAGTTTGTTGTGTTTTTTCTTCTACCAGGACTTGGGATATGACAGTCTCAATAGTGAGCTTGTCATTCATGGACATAAGCATTGTCTGGAGAGTGGAGTATGACTGTGGGAGAGAGATTACCATTGTGATTGCTACTGGCAAGTAATCGAGGGGTTGGCTGAGCAACAAGAGGATGTGGGCTTTTTGCTGCATGGCATTTAGCTGCATTTCCATAGGCTGGTCATCAGCAAGCATGCCATGAAATGGTTCTCCTATAAGATAGGCTATGGATTGCTTTCCTTTTCCTTCATACCACTTGCTCAGCTTTGTCCAGGTCTCTGCTGCAGTACTTGCATACAGAGCACTGCTAAGAGGCTCATCCTTGAGTGTTAAGGTAATCTGCATGCATGCTTCCTTGTCTTTAATTAGCAATTCCTTGTATTTGTCTGGGTTTGTGTCTGCATCTGGAGCAGTCTTCTCCATGCCAGCAACTACATTCCAGAGGCCTTGTATACCTAGAACCTTCTGCATCTGAAACTTCCACATTTGATAATTTTCTCCATCATCTGCAAGGGGCATTATATTGTAGAGTTGGCTTGAGCCTTGGGTGACCCTAGCACTAGTAGATGCAGAACCTGATGTGTTTGCACTTGTTGATGAGCCCAGTTGCCTGGACATTGATGCTGATGCTCCAGAGGACATGTTCATAGGTTATTTTGGTGGTACCACATTTGAGTTTGTTGATACTGTAAAGGTTAGAGCTGCTTGGGGCTCATAACCTCTTGAGAGAAGGCTGAAAGAAAGACTCAGACTTCTGTGGTAAGAAGGCTATAATATTAACAAGCTAACCTGAAAGAAAGGATTAAGGTAGAACATCAGTAAGGTAGCTGTAGAGTTAATATAATGAACACACCTCAGACTTCTGTGGTAAGAAGGCTGAGGTGCACAAGGAAAAACTAACTGCCTAAGTGCGAAGAATTATTATGTAAGCTCATATGCTGTAAATAAACCAACACAGGGGACATATGTTCCAACAACATAATGTACCTACATTGTACTGTATGACAGGGCCAGTGGAGGCTGACAATTTGCTGTGTCCCATGGGCCAGTGGAGGTTGAGCCCTACACTGAGTCATCCCTGTGCTGTATGGACCAGCCCAGTTTCTATTATCAAATAACACATGAGTAGGCCACAATCAAATTGTCCCTGTAGTACCTGGAGTAGCCTAGTGTAAGATGTCACCTGTCCAGTGGCATGCTGTGGCATGTGTAGATCAGCACTGGAAGGTGGCACAAGACCTCAGCATGCTTCAGGATAGCTCAGCAGTGTAATGTTGTAAGATTTTGGAGCACTCCAGGGCATACCATGGCCCTCTGGGGTGAGCTGTGGCATATGTTCCTAAGTGAGCTGTGGCAAGCCAGCCACTCTGGAGCAAATGGTGGAGCATGCCATTGTCCTCTGGGGTAAGCTGTGGCATGCCAACCACTCTGGAGCAAATTCTGGAGCACACTGCAGCACATGTGCCAGAGTATACCATAGCATGTGCCACAGCATGCCAGCCACTCCAGAGCAAATTCTGGGACACACTATGGCACATGTGCCAGAGCATACCATAGCATTCCAGAGAACTCTGGAGCAGGCCATGGCCCTCCAGGATAAGCTGTGGCATTCCAGCCACTCCATAGCAAATTCTGGAGTAAACTGCAGGACATGTGCCAGAGCATACTATAGCATTCCAGAGAACTCTGGAGCAGGCAATGGCCCTCCAGAATAAGCTGCAGCATATGTTCCAAACCAAGGTGTGGCATGGCAGACACTCTAGAGCAAATTGCAAAGCAAACTGTGGCACATGTGCCAGAGCATACCATAGCATTTCAGAGCACTTGGGAGCATGCAATGGCCCTCCAGGGTAAGCTTTTGGCATATGTTCTGAAGCAAACTGCAGCATGCCAGCCACTCCAGAGCAAATATTACCAGCATACCCTGCATGCCTACCCCTTGCAGATACTACCAGAATTGGCATAGCTTAAAAGGTTGGCATTCAGTGCCACAAACTAGGATGCAGCACCATGTATTCAGAAGCAGTAGCAACTGGCAGATATGGCATTCTGCATTATGGCACATTGCAGCATGCAGCATAATTCATGGGGAAGTTGTGGCAACATGTACTGTGGCACCTGGCAGCACCTGCTCCATAAGTCTCTGGAGGGTTGTGGCAGCCAGTGGATATTGCTCAGCACACACTGGCAATGTGGCCAAGTCAGCTAGACTTGACAGGGATGCCTGGCAGCTGGTGGCATTGGCATGGCATACAGTGGCAAACACCTGACTGGCTTAGGATCCATGTCAAGGCTTGATGTGTGGCATGGATGGTTCTGCATACAGCAGCACACAGTTAGATGCAGAGGAATAAACTGGCAGTTCTTGGCAGCCAATGGCATTGACCCAACATACTGTGGCACACATCAGGATTGAGTAGGATTCATGTCAGTGCATGGCATCCAGCATGGATAGTTCTGTATATGGCAGCACACAGCTAGGGTACTATAGATATGGACATGAAGCATAGCACAAATTGTCAGTATACTGCATATCTTACCACCAGTATAAGATCATAACCTATACTTCATATGATCACAGAAGGGTGGCTAGTAATATTGCATTGATTTCATATTTTTCATTCAAACTGAGATTGTTCCAATCAAATACTGGACACCCAGTGTGAGTCAAAGTGTGGTTCAGTGGTGAAAACCAACCAAAATCAACACAAAAGACAAAAAGAGCAAGTGGTGGTGTGCCTGTGCAGTACCTAGATAGTAGAACCTTTGACCTGGATGGGTTTTTGCAAGCTACAACACTCAAGGATGAGTGCTGAGGGTTGGGGGTGCTCCTGATGAAGAGGGAGCAAGAATGTGATAGAAAGCAATAGGGTAGACTGCTGTCAGCCTACAGAAGGATGGATGGCAACTTAATTTGATGTTCTAAGCTGCACTGAGCTCAGGGAGGGCCTGGAGTGAAGTATATTGATGATAGACAAGGATAAGCAAAGTAGACAATAGTTAGACCCTTAATAAAGTCTCAACTATCAAAGCTGCTGAATGAATTACTGAGTGATGATAAAATGTGAGCAAGAGGGGCTCTCTGACATCTTTTTTTTTTTTTGCTATCTAAGTACAGTGATTTATATACAGTACAGGGGTGTTGCCCTTGGAAAACAAGGTGCAAACACTTGGTAAGTGATTGGTAACTGATGAGTAAGGAATGTAAGTGATGGGTAATCATCTTGGAAAGCATTGGTAAGGACTAGCAAGCCAAAAGGCAAAGAATCAGTAAGCAAAGTCAAAAGATTGGTAAGTATTGGCAATAGGTGAGTCAGAGACAGTCAGAACATCAAAGTATGAGTCAAGTAATGTCAGGAACTGGGAAAGCACACTGGAATCATATTAGGGGGAGGCTGTGCATGTCACATCTCAAAGAGATCACTTCTAGGCCAAGGTGGGATGACAGGGAGGCAGTGCTGATCTGATGCCAATATAGTACATCCAAAAGTGGACAGGGTGAGTCAGATGTCAACAGGGGTCAAGTCTTGGGGGTCTGTGGGGTGACAGGAGCATAGGGGATCACAACTTTCCCCCCCAAACCATCCTCTCAGTGAAGTAAATAAAAACTTCATGAATGAGGCTCTGTTGGAAGAGAGGATGAAGGGGGAGTGTCTTCTGCTGTATCTTGCAACAAGGAGGCAAGATGAGCATCATACTCATGATGGATGCGATCAGGGAGAGTGGAGAACAGTGGATTATACTGTAGCTGTTGCAATCTTGGAAGAATGATGGATGAGACTGGTATGAAGACACTGCAGGGAGCAGGGAGGAAGGATCCATATGCTTCTTGGACCAGAGAGACTGAAATGACCACATAAGACCTTTCCAAGCAAATGACAGACCTGAGGCAACCAAAGAACATCCTCCTAGAGGTCATACTGACAAAAAGAACACACTGTCCAAGCTGGATGGGCTGAGAGGGCACAGACAAGGGTGGGATGTACCAGGATGCTTCAGGATGGAAGCTGGTAGGAACTCCTGGCAGATATATGTAGCCATGGTCCCTAGAAAAGGGGACAAGTGAAATGACTGATGTGGAGGTGGCCATATCAGAAGAATTTAGCAAAATGAGCATCTTTTGGAGGGAGTGCTGTAGAAATGTGTGTAGTGCACAAATCCTTTCCAATTTTGGAAGGTAAGATCACATGGCTGAGCACTACAAGCAAGTGTAGGAATGGTCTTGGTATCTGCAGAAATGGCAGAGATATGTCAAAAACTGGGATGCTGTACACAGGCACTTAAGAATTTTAACCAGTGCTTAACTCACTCCCTTTCTTTTTCTTTGGCACTGATGACTTGTTCTTGTGCAAGGGATGACTGCCAACATTTCTGGCTGTCCTTCTTTGCATGAGGGCTATGGTCTTCATCTCCATTCATCAGCTGTATTCATGTCCACCTCACCAAACACCTTTGGTGTGTGACACTGGGGCATTAAATAAGGACCAATACAATACAATACAAGGTGCCATGGGTGATTTACATGCCTGTGAGAGCCTGCCACACCAATGGAACATGCATCCAATCACTGCAAGGGACTCCAAGCCAGTTGTGAATATTGTCCTGCATGTAGAATGCTAGTGAGCAATGGTTGCCACTCACATCATTCACACCATGCTGCAAAAGCTAGCCAGAAAAGGCTACAACAGTGCTAGGCTGGTAATCAAATTGAAGACCAAGAGAGGGAATGTCAAGCATGCCTTCAGAATAATTGCTGACACTAATGAGCATGTCACACCAGTTGGCACAGGATTGTGGGTCATGATGGAGGGGAGCTGACCAGTTAGCAATCATGGAGATGTTGGTATAAACCATTGGCCAGTGTTGGAGTGCTGCTGACATTTTGGGATCATTCATGGCAGACCACTCAGTCAGCTGCCACATGGCTTGGTGACCAGCATTGTACAAAGGAGGGTGCATAATTGAAAGTGTAGCAGAGAGAATTGCTAATGGCATTTGGACAGCATGGATCCATTGCCAAGCAGCTGGAGCTGCAAGGTCAGCAGATATGGAAGGCTGGTGTGCCAGTGTCTACAACATTAGCAATGAGTATTTTGAGATAAAGCATGAGGATGACCCTCATGGCATGACCAAGTTGATGCTGGGCCAGCAAAAGCTCTAAGCAGCCTGCTGGCAAACAGTGATCCACCAGAAAGTAATCAGGTGATGTTCACCAGGAACCATCAGATATGCTTCAAGTCAACATATTGGAAAGTAGGGGAATAACTCCCACCATCTGGTTCTTGGTAGGGTTGTGAACTGGGGACAGCAGGATACATCACAATGCCTACCTGCATTGATTGGGACATTGCACTGGGTAGATACCACAAAGCAATTGCATCCCCTTCACCCAGAATGATTGCAGGGTTGTCCAAATACCCACTCAGACATGGTGGGTGAGTGGAAAGGATGTGGGCCTCCTGGTTCAAATTGAAACCTGTTTCTTGAGGTGATAGGCTTTCTGACAGCCTGATTAATTCAATGCTGGAGGGAACTGCAATAAATGTTAGCAGGATGCATGGCAGCACTCTTAAAATGGCATACAGGGATTACAATAGGCCTGGGCCAGTGTTGCCACCATTTGATTGAGTGCAATACATGTCTGGACCTTGAGTTTGAGAGGTTGTGGTGGGACAGCAGCAGTGCAAGGATGTGTCTCATGGAGAACTCAGCAGCGCATGTACTCCACAAGCTGGTCAGAAAGTAGATAGTTGGATGGGAATGTGCTGGTACCAGACATTTCTAATGTAATCAGGTTGGGGAAGTTAAGGGAACCCACCAGCAACAAGTGGGATATCATCCAGAGACACAAGGAACACACATGGCATGGATCCCTCCAGCCATGGCAATTGTGTGGCCAATGTTGTTGGCAATTGTAGTGACTAATGTGGCAACATTGAACTAAATGCAGCATAGAAGCTCTCTGCAGAAATGAGACCACAGCCTCATCAGCATTTTGGAATGCAGCCCAGCTGGAACACAACCTTGAACAGCTGTGAATGCTGCTGAAGTATACATTACAGAAGATATTAGCCCCTTCCACATGTTCCAATTGGGGGTTGCACATTTCTGATACTGCTGGCAACATGAATCAAGGTCCAGATTACCAGCCTGTTTCACTAGTGGGAGCATTGAATAGGCAGTTTTGGAGGACCATGCCAGAGATGGTTCAATGGTGCTGGCACATCACAGGTATCTGACTGTGAACCTAGTGGATGGCCTTATAGACTGCTGGCCCAAGAATGACATTGACATGATTGGGGCCACAGGGAGAGGAGTACACAAAAGACCCAGTGATCATGGGAATGCCCATATACATTTACTGGCATTGATTCTGATAAAGTAAAGCTACCAGCCCCAAAGGAAACTCATTATAGATGGTTGATAATATGTACAGTGGCTGTATGTTCATTCCCACACCTTTGACACTGACTCCACCCATGCAACCTGTAAAGCAAGTTTAGATCAGGTAACAGCTTCCAGTGATGACATCTGCTCCTGTGAATGTAAGATTAACTTGGAAAGATACAATAACTCCTGATCAATATCCTTCAAGCCTTCTGTGCACATTGCATGTAATGCAGCACATTTGGCAGTGGGTGATGGATGTGAATTAATAAGCAGGGGTAGCAAAATGCTGCCATTCTGATACCATGGGTGAGTTGGAAGTAAGCAAAGGTGTGCTGCCACTTACTGATACTCCTGCAAAAAATTCTGCAGCTTCTGCAATTATGTCCTGCAGCAGTCTCCTCTCATATCCCAATTCCACTTTGCCACTGTTGTTCTGCCACCATGTATGGGCCATGGTAGTGGCCAGTTTGAAATGGCACTCCTTAATCCTTGTCAGGCATGGATTGAAGCTTTTGATGAAAGCTTAAATGTTGCAGGGACTCTGATCACCATTGTTCAGGTATGTTAACAGCCTGTCAGCTGTGAGCAGTGTCACACACCAAAGGTGTTTGGTGAGGTGGACATGGATACAGCTGATGAATGGAGATGAAGACCATAGCCCTCATGCAAAGAAGGACAGCCAGAAATGTTGGCAGTCATCCCTCACACAAGAATGAGTCATTAGTGCCAAAGAAAAAGAAAGGGAGTGAGTTAAGCACTGGTTAAAATTCTTAAGCACCCATGTATGGCATTCCAGTTTTCAACATATCTCTGCTGTTTCTGCAGATACCAAGACCATCCCCACACTCACTTGTAGTGCTCAGCCACACGATCCTACCTTCCAAAATTGGAAAGGATTTGTGCACTCCACATGTTTCTACAGCACTCCCTCCAAAATATGCTCATTTTGCTAATTCTTCTGATATGGCTGCCTCTATGTCAATCATTTCACTTGTCCCCTTTGCTAGGGACCATGGCTACATATATCTGCCAGGAGTTCCTACCAGCTTCCATCCTGAAGCATCCTGGTACATCCCACCCTTGTCTGTGCCCTCTCAGCCCATCCAGCTTGGACAGTGTGTTCTTTTTGTCAGTATGACCTCTAGGAGGATGTTCTTTGGTTGCCTCAGGTCTGTCATTTGCTTGGAAAGGTCTTATGTGGTCATTTCAGTCTCTCTGGTCCAAGAAGCATATGGATCCTTCCTCCCTGCTCCCTGCAGTGTCTTCATACCAGTCTCATCCATCATTCTTCCAAGATTGCAACAGCTACAGTATAATCCACTGTTCTCCACTCTCCCTGATCGCATCCATCATGAGTATGATGCTCATCTTGCCTCCTTGTTGCAAGATACAGCAGAAGACACTCCCCCTTCATCCTCTCTTCCAACAGAGCCTCATTCATGAAGTTTTTATTTACTTCACTGAGAGGATGGTTTGGGGGGGAAAGTTGTGATCCCCTATGCTCCTGTCACCCCACAGACCCCCAAGACTTGACCCCTGTTGACATCTGACTCACCCTGTCCACTTTTGGATGTACTATATTGGCATCAGATCAGTGCTGCCTCTGTCATCCCACCTTCACCTAGAAGCAATCTCTTCAAGATGTGACATGCACAGCCTCCCCCTAATGTGATTCCAGTGCACTTCCCCAGTTCCTGACATTACTTGACTCACACTTTGACATTCTGACTATCTCTGACTCACCTATTGCCAATACTTACCAATCTTTTGACTTTGCTTACTGATTCTTTGCCTTTTGGCTTGCTTATACTTACCAATGCTTACCACTGCTTTCCAAGATGATTACCCATCACTTACATTCCTTACTCATCAGTTACCAATCACTTACCAAGTGTTTGCACCTTGTTTTCCATAGGCAACACCCCTGTACTGTATATAAATCACTGTACTTAGATAGCAAAAAAAAAAAGAGAAGAAGATGTCAGAGAGCCCCTCTTGCTCACATTTTATCATCACTTAGTAAATCCTCCATCAGCTTCAATAGTTGAGACTTTATTAAGGGTCTAACTATTGTCTACTTTGCTTATTATCATCTATCATCAATCTACCTTGCTCCAAGTCCTCCCTGAGCTCAGTGCAGCTCAGAGCATTGAATTAAGTCATCATCCATCCTTCTGTAGGCTGACAGCAGTCTACCCTATCACATTCTCTCTCATTCCTGCTCCTTCTTTGTCAGGAGCACCCCCAACCCTCCACACTTGTCTTTGAGTGTTATAGCTCACAAACACCCTCCCAAAGAACAGGTTCTACCATCTAGGTACCACATAGGCACACCACCACTCACTCTTTTTGTCTTTTGTGTTGGTTTTGGTTGGGTTTTCACTACTGAACCACACTTTGACTCACAGCAGCACAATCAGGGTAATGGGATGGTGAGATGCCATGCCCATCAGACACTCCATTGTACCCTGTACCACTATCAACCATTGCACCACCACAGGAACAGTGGCTTGCCACTTGTGCCAGGAAATGTTGATACCAACTAGTGTGCCAGTATTCAGACCAATCTGGCTTCTTCATGGCAGCAACAAGGCAACAAAACCTCATTCCCAAGTACTGTATGGCCATGGAGAGTTTGGTCATGGTGAATGTTGATGACATGACTTACTGGCATGTTGGCCAACTTTCCCACAGCTTTGCATGGTGGCATGCATCTGCCATTAAAGAAGTACTCATTAGCAAATGCTTAGCTCACATTCAACTACACCAACCAATATATGATTGAGAACCCTGGCATCATTTGGGAGTTCTCAAGAATGATGTCATTGCAGATAGCTAGTGGTCTCTAGATGGAAATGGTTCACAGAAGACATGCTAATCTGCCATACATCTGGCATTGCAATGTGGCATAGCATGCCAGCCTGGCCTGTCCCTTTGCCAATGTGGCAGCCTTTCTGCTGGTCCAAAATCTTACCTTGTTTTCAAAGAAGTTGTTAGTCCACTCCTGCTTGCATTTCAACAGCTGAACCTCCTCCTTCCATCTGTCCCACAGCACTCTCACCCAGAGCCAATTGACCCTGTAAACTAGAGAAAATGATAAGTAAATCTCAGATGCTGCTGCCATGTGATTGCTCCTCTCACATTCTGACATCCAATCATTAGTGGCCATGTCCCTTGGTACATCCATTGTCCAGATCCAAGGTAGGGTATCATCCCTGTGACCTCTGGCATTTGGGTCAGATACTGCCATGCTGATAGTTAGGTTGGAGTCATTCAACTCTTTGTATCACTCCAGGATATCCAGCCCAGCCCCTAACCTGCCCATTTGAATGTGGCACTGGCAGTACACAGTGGCATGATGTTGCATGGCTGCTTTGGCATTGGCCACCCTTCCCCAGGCATGCATGGCCATGTGGTAATTACTTCCATGGTGAATGTTGGTTTGAAAGATGACCACCTTCTCTGCAAGCACAAGCTGCAGTTCATGAAGACAATCATTGGCCTGTCCTTGCTGCAGTTGCAGCTCCATTAGTGTCACATACCCCAGGCCAGATTGTTCAAAATGATCTTTGCCAACATTGGATGGCAGTGGCAATGCAATGGTTTCTGGATCATGCAGGTTAGATGACCAGCACAGCTCAGCATCCTTGAATCTGTCCCCAAATAGTTTTTTGGCAGTGTTGAAAATGCCATGTATATGGGACTGGAGATGATCATGGCAACATGCAATGGTGAGATTTTGAGCTTCTGTTGCTCTTGAGCTGATGTGCCAGCATGCCACTGCAAGCTGGATTTGTGCTTCTTCTATCTTCAATGCCTTGGCAATCCAGGTCACCATACCCTGCAAATGCCCTGGCTGAGGGATGGCCAGTAAATCTATCTTGATTGCCTTTGCAGAGGGAGCTTCATTACCACTCAGCCCAAATCCTGTCCAGGATAACCTTCAATACCTACCTTTCTGCAGCCTGACCTCATATATATCCATGGCCTGTAGCCTTGACAGCCAGTTGTCCAATGCTGCTGCTGCTTCTCCCCCCCATGATTGGCTGATTGCCAGTGGGACATTACCATTCAAATCAGCAAACCTGCCTTCAACCACTAAATAAGATTCCTCAGCAACCTTGAGTTTCTGCTTGAGTCTCATTGCTGTAGTCTGATACAAGCACTAGACTTATGCATTCTGACCATTTTCAGGAAATTGCTATCATTCATTTGGAAATCAAGTACCTCCTGCCAATGAGGAGTAGCCACACCTCTAGCAGATGGGGACATGATATTCAGGGAGGGCCACAAGGTTTCCATGATCTCCCGATCCACCCAGCCAGCACCCACAATGAAATTGGGAGCATATTGTGCAAAGCATTCTGTGCAGTGGCCATGAACATGCCACAACCCAATGCCAGGGCAGATCTGCATGCCATCCAGCATGGATATATAGGCATTGGCATGTAGCCATCATTCTAAACTTTTGCTATACCAGCAGTTAATATCATAGAAATGTATCACTTGCTGGCCAGGGACTGTGCCATGCCTGACAGCATGCACAAGCACATAGTCCATGTTAACCTGCCTGTGATGTCAATGTCAATATTGTCATACATTGTTACAAGGTTATTCATACTGTTTGCCCTTCTGGAAGTCAACCATTGCATGTGGCACAAAACAGCCATGCTATGCACAGGCACATCCACCTATTCCTGTAGATGCAAGCTGCTGCCAGTTGGCATTTGCTTGATTAACTGCCTGATGATTGCTGCAATCTGAGATCTTGTAGTGTGATCAGTCCATTGGGTAATACATTCCTACACATCACCCACCTCAACCACATTTTTAGTGCTGCTCAAATATTCCTTGTATGGCTGTGATGCAACCATGTACCCCTTTCCATCCATCAACCAGGCTTTGCTGCCAGCATCCTTTGGATGCATATGCTCTGCCTTGAAATTACCATCCATGACCAAGCTTCTTTCCAGTGTCCAACTGGATTATACAGTGTATAAATGGCTAGCAGTGTTCATGGTATCACTCACTGGGAATAATCCATTGCATCTTCAGGAATGTTGATGCTGGGTTGGGGACATGCTGGACAAAATAACACTAATTCCCCAGGGCCAGCATCTTCTGTGCTTGTGTGGGATCTCTGCCATTTCAGTAGTTTCAGGAGCTGCCACATCCTAGCAACTCTCAGCAGTTCCCTGTACCTATCCTATCATCCAGCTAAGAGTTGTGTTGCAGTGATACAATTCAACAAATAGGACACACTGGCACCAGATGAGGAAAGGCATTGGAGGTTATGCAGCAAAGTTTGCTGTAGAAATTCATTGCTGAGGTACCACATTCCACATTGTCCTGAATGAAGTCATCAAGTACTTGGAAGGTAAATGCAGTTCTTGCAGCCTTTGTGGTAGCAGGAAACATCCCAACCCACATCAGCTGTATGTGTGAATCCTCTGCCCCAGGGCATCTACAATACTGCACATTGCAGTAGTGTATTCCATTGGTGTGCATGACAATTAGACAGCTTCAGTTCCTCAGGGCCTGCAGATTTGGTGGACAACCATCCTGATCCACATCCTCCCAATCATCTTCCTCCTCAGTTTTGACTTCATTGTTTGAACAACCACCAGCTGGGCAGTGTTGCCCACCATGCCCAACATGCAGTACCAAACTTCACAGAAGTATCTATACAAGTAACTCAGTCATGTGCAGACAGTGACAACATCTATATATATTTACCTATACAAGTAACTAGGTGCGCTGTAAGCATAGTAAAGTAAGCAGAAGGATATCGTACTCACCTCAGTCACACGCAGATAGCGACAACATCTGAGGTGATGGGGTCTACAGTGCAGAGCTAAATACTGTAATGTAACAATAGAAGTGAAACACCGGGTGTTGAACCCGTTTACAATAAGTATTGTCTTGTTGTGAGATGCGCTATGGTCTTCGTGGATAACAAGAGGACTCGCACATAAGTGCAAGACACTGTAAATACAATAAACATAAGGATGCGGAGAGTTAGTTTGCGCATTCAGTAACAGTGTTGAGTAAGAAAAGGGTCTAAAGCGGAAACCAGTTCTCACCACCCAGAGCGGATGCATTCGGAATGGGCTACATGTGACTTGCCAAATCTAACACTCCCCCTCAAGTAGGACGTAGACCAAGTTTGACGACAAAGTGCTTCACCTTGGGCGATGGTAAAGCTTTAGTCAGGGTGTCGGCAACCATATCGGTGGTGGGGCAGTAGATTAAGCGGATCTTGCTGTTTTCAATGACCCAGCAGATGAAGTGGAAACAGATATCGATATGTTTGGTGTGTGTGTGATATTGATGATCTTTGGTGAGCGCAATAGCTGATTGATTATCTGAGAACAACGTGGTTGGTTCAGCAAGTGGCCCAAACAGTCTCTGATGAGCGACCGAAGCCATAAGGCTTCCTTGGCCACATGGGTGGCTGCCACATACTCACTTTCAGTCATCGACAGCGAGATGATTTCCTGTCGTTTTGAGGACCATGACACAGCGCCACTGTCTATCAAGAAAGCGTACCCTGAGACCACTCTGCAGTCTTCCGCCATACTTCCATCTGTGTCTGCATATCCTACGAGCATGTTCAGTGTCCCACCATACGTCAACTTCAAATTCTTGGTTCCAAGAAGGTAACAATATATTCTTCTAACTGCTTCCCAGTGGGGAATCCCAGGATTTCCGGAGAAATGGGAGATGGTGGTCATGGCATATGAGATGTTGGGATGGGTACCCAGGGAGGCATACATCAGCAAGCCAACGGCTTTGCAATACAGTATGTGTTTCATCGCAGCATATTCAGCACCAGTGGAGGGTGACTGACCAGAGTGCAGCTTTGTGCTAGGTTCCATGGGGTTTGATATGGGTTTTAACTCATCAAAGCTGAAGCATTGGATGATCGATTCAATGTAGGGATGCTGGCACAGTGAGATAGTGCGTTCATCTCAGTTTCTGGTGACCTCTATCCCGAGCAACCAATGGAGCTCGCCAAGGTCAGTTATCTCGACGTACTTTCTGATGTCCCTTTTGAACTCATCAATCTCGCTTGAAAGTGTGGCGGCGATAGTGCAGTTGTCGATGTGTATGACGATGATTATGAGCTTGCCAGTGTTGCAACATCGGAAGTACACAGCTTGGTCAACAGAACACTGGGTGAACCCGAGCTTGTCTACTAATATCTCGACTAGCCTCTGGTACCAGCGACGACCACTTTGCTTTAGGCCGTACAAAGTTTTGCGAAGGCGGCAGACCTTGTGTGGGTGATCGGCAGATTCAAACCCAGGAGGCTGGCGCATGTAAATGACTTCATCGTCGGTGAGTGTGCCGTTTAGGTACGCTCCTTTGATATCTATCTGATGGAGTTGTAGATTGGAGTGAGCAGCCATCATGAGTACAACATGGATGGACACAAGCATTGCTACTGGTGCGAACATATCGAAGTAATTGACACCTTCGACCTGCGAGTACCCCTGGGCAACATGTCTGGCCTTGTGCCGCACAATGTTTCCTGCGGCATCCTTCTTGGCCTGGAACACCCATTTTGAACCTATGACATTTGCACCGGGGGGTAAGTTGACAAGTTCCCAAGTTCCTGCATCCCGTAACGTTGCTAACTCCTCTCTTATTCCATTTTCCCATTGCGGCCAATTGGGATGGCGACGAGCTTCAGCTAGTGAGCTGGGCTCGAGAGCTTCTGTTTCAGCAGTAATCTCGTCCATAGCCATAGCAAGGTCAATCTGACATAGGTCATCGTCCGAGTCTTCAATGATAGATGCGAGTAGGGCTGTGGCAGTCTCTTGCTCCCCCTCGAGCCTGACAGGGTTTGAATGTTCCTCGACAATGGTAGGTAACTGAACTCCTTTTGGTACTTCAGGTGTACTGCGATGGTTGGTACTACCTTTTCCAGCGAGAATCTCTGCGAGCCGCTGGCTGGGTTTTCAGATTTGTTTCGCAACAGGTGGATCAGCTGGAAGTGGTGGAGGCATGAGTTGAGCTGGAGCGACTGGTGGAGGTGATGGAGCTGCAGCAATCTCTGTGACGGGCGCTGTAGATGTTAGCATCGCATTTGGTAAGTACGCATCTTCTTCCTCCCCCTCACGAGGTAATGGCTCAGCCGAGGAGGGGTCCCAGTACACATTTCTTTCGACAGTGACTGACTTCTTTTCAGGCCAGTATATGCAACATCCGTTGGGGCTGTTATCGTCTATTCCAACCCATCGGCCTTCAGCGACACATCCTCCCAGCTTGCTTCTGCCCTCAATTCATACCCAGACGTTTGAGCCCCATGCATGGGCTCGACTAAGGTCAGGTTTCTTCCCAGTCACAGCTTCGAGAGGCGTTCCTCCATCAAGTGCTTTAGTGGGGGTTCTGTTCTTCAACCAGACAGCGTGACATACTGCCTCACCCCAAAGGGTGCAAGGTAATCCACTCTCATGTAGCATGGCATGTACTTTCTCCAGCAACGTGCAGTTAAGGCGCTCAGCGATGCCGTTGTGCTGTGGGGTATCGTGTACAGTGAGTTTTTGCTTTGTACCAGCTGCCCTGAGGTACATCACAAATTCTTTTCCTAGGTACTCACTGCCTCAATCGGAATGAAGAGTCTTCACGCAGGCATTATGTTGGGTGCGACACCAGGCCTCGAAATCTTTATAGGCCAAGAAAGCTTCACTTTTCTGACGGAGGAGATGGATATAGGTGAGTTGTGTCTTGTCATTGGTGAACGAGATGTAGTAATGCCGTCCTCTGAGAGTTTCAACAGGTGCAGGTCCCCAGAGGTCGGTATGCACTTCTTCCACGAATTCAGTAGCTTGGTCTCCAACACGTTCCTTTGCAACAGGCTTTCTGGTCGCCTTCGCATATACATAAGCTTTGCAGAACATTGGTTCGTCCTTTGACAAGTCGAATTTCAGTCCTGACATGAGTCCCTTTTCAGCTAAGCAGCAGGCAGCGGTTGGAGATATGTGACCCATCCTTCGGTGAAGCTCCATGACAGTAACTGTTTCAGTCATGGAGTTCACTTGGTCACGATCATCATTGTGAATGACGCAATAGAGACCAGCTTTGGACTTGGGGACACATCCAACAATGTCGTCGGTGGGGTTCCTGATGATGCAGGTGCCTTCAGCGAAGGTGATGGAGTACCCTAGCTGATCAAGGCGGCTGACGGATATGAGGGTGTATCCTACCTCGGGCGAATATAGCACCTCCGTAAGTCTCAATTTAGTCACATCATACCCATTTGGTACTTCTATGACCATCTCCCCCATAGCTGTGGCGTTAAAGAGTTGTTTGTTCACCGCTGAGAACGACCTAGGCAGTATGCTTGTTAGGGCCTCAAATCTCTCCTTGTAGGGGGAGATGTGATGAGTGGATCCGGAATCGTAGAGTTTGACGACACGTGCATTAATAGGGCTGTCATTTACAAGGTTTGTGAACTCTGGGGAGGTTTCAGTGCCTCGCCATCCACTTCCTCTACCTCACTGAACCAGTCCTTGTTGCAGGTGGTGAAGTGTTGCTGATATTTGTCATCGTCGTCCGAGGATATGCTCAATAGATCAGGGAGCATCACCTCATCATCCAGCTTGTCCAAGGTGTGGGCCGAGAAGGCGCCCTCTTCATCAGAGTCAAGTGTCACAGCATGAGCGGATCCATTTGTAGCAGTGGATGTAGCTTCTTTCTTTTTATCAGGATCAGGACATTGAGACTTGTAGTGCTCCCTTGACCTGCAGTTCCAGCAGGGTCCATGCTGGCGAGCGTGCCCTCTGGAGCTTCCTCCTCGACCTCTCCAACTCCCTCGTCCTTGATTAGAGGAGTTTCCAGGGGTCATGGCCAAGGCTATGTCGCCTTCACAGGTTCTTTGCTTAGGACGTGAGTGTCATGTCTCCTTGCAGCTTCGTCTTTCTGATTCTTCAATAATAAGGGAGATGAGAATATCAGGGTCGACAGTTTGCGTTGGGCTGTACAAACGAGCGGTTGTGAGCTGACCAGATGCGAAGCTGGTGAGGTATTTGGGTAAGGATTGGATGATGGTCGATCGATAGTCCTTTTCTTCGATCTGTACGCTGATGGCTGCCAACTTGTCTCTCTTCGTACGCAGATTGTCCAGGAATTGGTGGACGTTGCCATTGGCAGGGCATTGCATGCCTAATAACTTTGTTCACAGATCCATCTGAGTGTAAGCTCCCTTCTCGGTGTACTCGCAAATGATCTCATTCCACATGGCAGCGATGCTGCTAAGGCTATGCACCCGAAGGGCAGTGGAATTGGGGATCCGTTGAGTAAGTAAATGTTTTGCCATATTTTTGCTTTTCTGCCACTTGGCGAGTTCGTCAGCATTGGGAGGGACTACTGTCATGAATCCATCCTGATCAGTGGAGGTTATACCGGCAGGGCAAAGAGAGGTTCCATTGAAGTGGGACCATAGCTCCTTAGCTTCGACAGCGGTCTGGAAGCGAAGGGAGAAGATTGCCCAGTTTGCGCCTTTGATATTGAGCTTCGGAACATTGCCCAGGAGTGTATCAGTGGTGACAGGGATAGCAGTGGTCATTGCGGGGAGATGAGGGTCAATTTAACAGCAAGAATATCGAAACGATGGTGAGACGTTCATAGGCTATTAGAGCTCGGGGCTCATAACCTCACAGAAGTATAAGTATCTATACAAGTAACTCAGTCACACGCAGACAGTGACAACATCTATATATATTTACCTATACAAGTAACTAGGTGCGCCATAAGCATAGTAAAGTAAGCAGAAGGATATCATACTCACCTCAGTCACACGCAGACAGCGACAACATCTGAGGTGATGGGGTCTACAGTGCAGAGCTAAATACTGTAATGTAACAATAGAAGTGAAACACTGGGTGTTGAACCTGTTTACAATAAGTATTGTCTTGTTGTGAGATGTGCTATGGTCTTCATGGATAACAAGAGGACTCACACATAAGTGTGAGACACTGTAAATACAATAAACATAAGGACACGGTGTCACACACCAAAGGTGTTTGGTGAGGTGGACATGGATGTAGCTGATGAATGGAGGTGAAGACCATAGCCCTCATGTGAAGAAGGACAGCCAGCAATGTCGGCAGTCATCCCTCGCACAAGAACAGGTTGTCAGTGCCAAAGAAAAAGGAGGAGGCGGGTTAAGCGCCAATAAAATTCTTAAGTGCCCATGTATGGCATTCCGGTTTTCGATGTATCTCCACCAGTTCTGCAGACACCGAAACCATTCCCACACTCACTTGTAGTGCTCAGCCACGTGATCCTACCTTCCAAGATTGGAAAGGATTTGCACACTCCACACGTTTCTACAGCACTCCCTCCAAAAGACGCTCATTTCGCTAATTCTTCTGATATGGCTGCCTCCACATCAGTCATTTCGCTTGTCCCCTTTGCTAGGGACAATGGCTACATATATCTACCAGGAGTTCCTACCAGCTTCTGTCCTGAAGCATCCTGGTACATCCCACCCTCATCTGCCCCCTCTCAGCCCATCCAGCTTGGACAGCATGTTCTTTTTGTCAGTATGACCTCCAGGAGGACATTCTTTGGTCGCCTCAGGTCTGTCATTTGCTTGGAAAGGTCTTATGTGGTCATTTCAGTCTCTCCAGTCCAAGAAGCATATGGATCCTTCCTCCCTGCTCCCTGCAACGTCTTCATACCAGTCTCGTCCATCATTCTTCCAAAATTGCGACAGCTACAGTATAATCTACTGTTCTCCACTCTCCCTGATCACATCCATGATGAGTATGATGCACATCTTGCCTCCTTGTTGCAAGATACAGCAGAAGACACTCCCCCTTCATCCTCTCTTCCAACAGAGCCTCATTCATGAAGTTTTTATTTACTTCACTGAGAGGATGGTTTGGGGGGGAAAGTTGTGATCCCCTATGCTCCTGTCACCCCACAGACCCCCAAAGCTTGACCCCTGTTGACATCTGACTCACCCTGTCCGCTTTTGGATGTACTATATCGGCATCAGATCAGCACTGCCTCTCTGTCATCCCACCTTGGCCTAGAAGCGATCTCTTCAAGATGTGACATGCACAGCCTCCCCCTAATGCGATTCCAGTGCACTTTCCCAGTTCCTGACATTGCTTGACTCATACTGTGACATTCTGACTGTCTTTGACTCACCTATTGCCAATACTTACCAATCTTTTGACTTTGCTTACTGATTCTTTGCCTTTTGGCTTACTTATCCTTACCAATGCTTACCAATGCTTTCCAAGATGATTACCCATCGCTTACATTCCTTACTCATCAGTTACCAATTGCTTACCAGGTATTTGCACCTTGTTTTCCATAGGCAACGCCCCTGTACTGTATATAAGTCACTGTACTTAGGTAGCAAAAAAGAAGACATCAGAGAGCCCCTCTTGCTCGCAATTTATCATCTCTCAGTAAATCATTCATCAGCTTCGATAGTTGAGACTTTATTAAGGGTCTAGCTATTGTCTACTTCGCTTATCATCATCTATCATCCATATACTTTTCTCCAAGCCCTCCCTGAGCTCAGTACAGCTTAGGACATTGAATTAAGTCACCATCCATCCTTCTGTAGGCTGACAGCAGCCTACCCTATCGCTTTCTATCACATTCTTGCTCCCTCTTCATCAGGAGCACCCCCAACCCTCAGCACTCATCTTCAAGTGTTGTAGCTCGCAAAAAAACCTCCCAAAGAACAGGTTCTACCATCTAGGTACTGCATAGGCACACCACCACTCGCTTTTGTTGTCTTTTGTGTTGGTTTTGGTTGGTTTTCACCACTGAACCACACTTTGACTCACAGCGGAGAGTTAGTTTGCATGTTCAGTAACAGTGTTGAGTAAGAAAAGGGTCTAAAGCAGAAACCAGTTCTCACCACCCAGAGTGGATGCGTTCGGAACAGGCTACGTGCGACTTGCCAAATCTAACAAAACTGGCCTGAATGGTAAATACAGGAACAACCATCATGATTCAGCTGCTTACCAGCTGCAGGGATGATTCCTCAAAGAATGTTCCATTCCATTGTTCCACCCTGTGGAATGGCCAGTGCTTGTGTTCTGCCCAGCCAGAAGACCAGCCAATGGGCACACTCAGTGCACCAGAAAATTCCATCCACTCCACACAGGACACAATCCCTTGGCTCAGGTGGGGCCTCCATGTCCAACAGGATGGCTAGATAATGCTGTTGGTGTGGCAACCACTGCTGCAGATAACTATTCTACAATTGTGTGCCACTGTCATTGCAGGTTTGTTGGGCAATGCAGCATTCCACACACCTGACTTTTCCAAGGTTTATAAGGTGTTGCAGGCAATACATCATTATTGGAAGGTAGTTGGTCACCCACATCATCCAACAGGCAGTCCAGGTGATCCAGGATAACAGAGCCAGGCTGTACAGGAGGCTGAGTTGCATGGCCTGGCACCTGCTTTCTGGGTGCTACTTTTATCATCTTATCCCTATATCCTCAGGTGGTTTTCACTCTTTTCCAGGTCACCTTGGTCACTCTTGTCGCATGTCCTGCTGGTGCAAACTTTGACTTCCCCATGATGAATGTTGCAATGCAGAAGGGTTTTGATCACAACAAATACATGCAGCCAACACATGCTAGCAAGGTCTGACCACCAACTATGGTAATGCTATCTTAGGATCTGGCACATGATTTCAGTGCTAGCACCTGCACATTGCCTAGAGATCAATGAAATGAATGAGCACTTGCAAAAAGCCTTGTCCTACATCATGCCCATAGTGCCTATACCATCCACAGCATCTCAATGCACATTGCCCAATTACCAAAGATCTCAGATCCATGAAGTCTGAGAGGCACTGCCTTTGCACATGGCTCAGGGATGGAAATCTCATGATTGACTAACAACCTTAGCCATCTTGGGAAACTGTCCAATCAACTGGCATGCAAGAATGGACTAGACACCAAAATGTAACCTTCATTGACATGGGAGAATGCTGGAGAAGTCTATTCTCCTCAAGAGACATTGTACTAGCTGTCCCCCAAAAATCTGCACACAAGCACCTCCATCCTCAATGCCATCCAGTGACTATGAAAGTGACTCATTCTCCAACAACACCAAACCCTCCCTGCCACAAAAGGGGACCAGTCTTCAGCCAGCCAAAATTGATATTCTTGAGGCTGAGCTAGAGTCATGGAAAAATGCTGACTGAAACAAGAGGAACTCCATCATGTTAACCCTCAGAAACAAGATAAAGAACCTTGATGCTAATGTGATGCTGAAAACACATGAATGGGTTCAGAAGAAGAAGGTGTGCCACACCTGCCATTGATTACCTGGCATGTCCTTACCATTTCCAGGCAATTCAGACTTGGTTGTACAACCACAGCTGGAGCCATAGTCAACAGGCTCTGATCAAATATGGTGGCAGTTGGACACTGAGGAAGGTGGTCATGCACCATCAAAAGAAATCAATCAACAAAGTGTTGGAAGAAGCCAGGATCAAGCTGGGATCCACAGAAATGATCAAGTCTTATCAGAAGGCTGTTGACACTGTCATGAGGTCCCTTACTGCCAAGGAGATACAGGAGGCCAAGGCATTGGCCAAAGAATGGAATGTGCAGCAGCCACCTCAGGATGTTCAGTCAGAGTACATACCATTTGGCAATGCTGCCCATCACTCACAAGAAACAGAACCACAGAGAAGAAAGGCCATAAATATGCCAAGGAATTTGCTAAGGAAATGTGGAAGCAGTGTGGTGTCAGGGTGGTAGTGATGGTGGCATGGGAAGATGCTGATGGAGAGGTGATAGTTGGAGTGTGAGGAACTTGTTCTTTGTGCAGATGAGTACCACCAGATTTTGACTGACTCATCCAGACATGATTTCAATGATGAATTGGGTAATGGCAAATTATTTGAGGAGTTGGACAAGTGCCAGGATATATTGGTAAAGTATGCATGAATGGCATTTGGGAATGGTGGGACTGATGCTGAGTTGCCAGACAAAGATGCTGCTCCATGGTCAAGGCAGAGAAAGAGCAATGGGAAACCTAAAACCATCCTGCTGGTCAGTGAAAACAGCACACCATACAACCTGAACATATTGGACATGTGGGCACCAAAGTTGAAGGATATCATGCAGACATTTGTGACATTTCACTATCATATGTATAACAATAGGAGAAATACTGTTCATTGACATGTGTTACAGGGAAGGCCTGCAGGAATTCACAGGTGACTGTTCCATGAAGCACAATAATGACCAACACTGCACTTTATATTGCACCACAGTTTCTGCCACCTGAGGTTCCCTTGAAAGAGCTGAGTTGACTTACCCAGGATGAGTTGACAGCAATCTTGGAATGGTGGCAAGAGTGAAAAGAGTGGCATCCCAATAATATATTCAGCTTCAAGAAGTGGAGAGATGCTGGAGGGTCCCTCCAAATGCTGGTAGCAGAGGCTGACAGCAGTGGAGCAAGGATAGGTGCAAGCAGGATTTGGATGGGAACCCAGACCACTTGACAGGCAAAAGGACAATGGATAGAATGATGCAGGGTAGGAGGAAGCAGTGATGGCAAACAGGTATGAAGGAATGCATCTGGAACTTAAATGTGTGGCAATATTATCTAATGGGGGACAAAGTTGTAGGGTCTGATTCTGACAATGAATCCAATCTCTGTCAAATACCACCAACATTGCTGTCAAATAGAAATGATGCTACAGGCCCAAGCATGGTGGATGAAGATGCCACAGAGGCAGTACCATTGCTGGATTCCCAGCAGTGGATTTCCAGATGCCAAGTGGCTGAGGGTGACACCTGCCAGCCAATTGGTAAGCCAGTGGGATCACAACAGCCAAATATTGTTAACATTAATGGCTGACATGTTTCAGCCATTGGCAAGGAACCACAAAATGCCTGGTGGCAGGTTGTGGGTGGCAATACAAGCCCTGTGCAACCTATGCCAGAAGGCCACCACATTGATTTGCCTGATTCTCTCCACCTGGCAGATCCTTTGGCAGTGCCAACAACTATCAAGAGAGGCCATAAACAGGAAGATTCAAAGCACAAGTTGCCCACTCCATCGATGAGTCAGTACTTGTGCCACAGTTGCTGAATTGTTGATTCAATTTATCTCTCAATCCTAGTACCCATGCACTGGACTGGCATAGACAATGTGAGGGGTATGTGGCAATCAAAATGGGTATGGAAGGCACCAAAGTGGCCCAATGATGATGTTCCTACTCCCAGTCCCTCCAAGAAACATAGGCAATGTTAACATTTGTATTTTACATGGCCATGGAATGTGATACTACATTTTGACAACCAATAGCTACAATTACAATAAATCCTCATCCAGTTCCAATTCATCCTCACCATCCCAATTGCTGGTCATTAAATCTTGTATATATTGCTGAGTCCTTGCCAGCTGTGCTCTCCTTGCAAGCAACAGGTGAAACCAGATGCTTGATTCCACCAATATATTGCTGTAGTGGTTGTAGGCCACAATGATTGGCCCATTGGTGGTGGTGTTAAGACAGGGCAGGTGCTCATCAGCCAGTCCTGTGAGAAGAACTGCAAGCCACTGTGCTTTTTCCACTGCCAGATGATTGATATATATGCAAGGGATATCATAAAACAACTTACATGTTGTAATTGGCCCTTCATCATGAATTCCTTGTATACCCAAGTCACTGGTGAAACATTGCAACACTGAAAAGCAAGCTAATACACTTAATACTGGCAGCAACAAGAGATGACATGGCACTTGCCAGCAGTGGCATCGGTGGCCATAGGCCATGGAGATGGTTGCTATGATGTAGCCAGGATGGGCTGTGGCTTGGAGGCTGCCACACCATCTAACCACTCATCCATATATGCATGATCTGGGGGAGATGGCACAGTTTGTGGAATTTGTGCAGATGCCAGCAATGATCTAGGTGGGGGTGAGACTGCCAGGGAAGATGTTGGTGAATCCCAGCTAGGTGCAATGGCAGCCAAGGATGGCATGGAATGACTTGCTTGCCATGCCTCCCATTGTTGATCAGCAGCAGATGGCTGCACCTCCAGTGAAAGTAGTGGGGAGTCCCAAGATGGTGCAAGCATACTGAGCAATGGACAGGAAGGGCTGGCATTCAGCAGCATGGAGGACGATGGCAATCCCAGCTGATGGCCCCAAGCTGCAGCATTTGCAGCTGCTCTGAATGGTAGAAATTCTGGTTCATCTACAACCATATCTGTATTGTTGGCACCTGGCAATACCTGAGGTTTATTATGCAGGGAGATGACTGGTGAAGGTTATTGACAGTTGTATGTTATAACAACTACTTACATTGAGTGTCCAGACTGCCTGGCCTCCACCTTACTGACTTTTGCTCCATGATATTCAGCAATCTGTAGAATGTTGATAAGTTGATTGAAATATTGTTCAATTGTGTCAAAATGTCAGATTTGACTATTTGGGCTTGTTTGTCTACTGGCCAGTGTTGATGCCAGCACAATGGTTCATGAAAATATAAAATGCAGCTGCACTGCTGATGCAATTGTCAACTATCACTTGACTGCACTGCTCTCACACCAGTACCCCACTTCCACAAAAATGTCCCAACACACTGAAGCATCCCAAACTGCCACCACCACTCCCTCTGTCACTCTCCCACATGAAATAGTCACTAATGCTGCAGACATAGTCCTGGTGGAGCTTTTGATGCTCCATGACCACAGGAACAAGCAATACTGGAAAAGAGCTATGCATGTCATTTGGGAACAATTGGTTTGTGGCATGCTGATCTATTTATCCTCTGATATTTATAACATTCCAGACCCATGTGCACCCTTTGGTTGAGGAACTGCCCTCAAAATTCACCATCCCCACCCACATCATCACTGCCAAAATGATTATGAGAGATCTGGTGGTGCTTATGGCATTGAAGGAGTGGCTCAACTTTGACAAGATCAGAGATGCAATGGATGCCAATGTTGTGGACCATCCATGGTACCAGATTGGAAGGCCCATTGATAAGGGTAAAGGGCACACAGTTCCATTAGACCCACTTCAGATAAGTGACAATGCTGCTGCCACCACTGACACTTTGGAAGAACCCTGTGGCCAATCAACCAGTCACACTGCTCCTACTGGCACTCAGCCCAGAAGTCAAAGGCCACAGAAGCATACAAGGTCAGTGGCAGCAAGTGATGCCAATGTTTTGACAGTAACTGCTGGAGCATCTGCTGGTCACAGCCACTTGGTTGCAGCTCTTGCAACCCCTGCCACTGGCTATATGCCTGTTTCCAAAGAAGACCAATGTGATAGGTGCATGGAGAACAATCTGCCATGCATGGTCAAGCCAGGTTCTGCATGCTGGCAGTGTAGCTGCCAGAAGTACAGGTGCAGTATCTTTGCTGGAGTGAAGGCTGCACAGTCACAGTCAAGGCAACCCTGCAGTTGTGCTGTAACTGAGGTGCCTGATGCAGCAGTGGACTGTCCCCAAACTGTTGCAGCCACCTGTCCCCCCAGCTGATGCCATCCTCAAAGCCCTTCACCAGGGCCATCAGCCACAATATCCTTGGAACCCACCACTCCTGTGTGGCAGACCCAGAAGCAGTGGGTGGCCACTAGGAGTATGACACCTGCCACTGGCAAGACAACCACCTCAGCTTCTCCAAGCTCCCACAGGCAAAGTAAGTCCTCCATTTCTTTCATTCCACTGTAGGGAGCAGGTTCAAGCTCCCTAGGAGAAGTTGTCTTGGTCAGAAGAAGATAGGGGTTTGGGGACTTGTATTTCATTTGTTGCTTTTGTTTTTGTGTTTATACCACTGGACTTAGTGGTGAGCAGCTGTGTTGCTGACTAAGCACATGTGCTGTGTTCACGCAAGTTCAGTTTACCAAAAAAACCAATCCATGTCACAGGCCCTCAGTAGTAGGGTGATTTTGTCTCACATTTTGGCAAGTTTTTGAAGTTAGAATTATTACTTTGGGGAGTACCCAAAGGGCCAGGAGGACTGGCAAGAGGTATTAGACAGGCAGAGCTAAGTATTCATTTCAGTTCACATTCTTACATTTTTACTACACTTCTTTCTCCAGAGAGAACCTCCCTTTTGGGTCAAGCACTATACTTGCCCATTTACTGATAATTACTATTTCTAGGTATCTTCTATTACCTATTCCTACACCACTATTCTTATTTGAGCCTAACATAGTTTTTGATGGAGTGGTCATCATCACTCCATCCTGGCAGCAGTCAGGTCAGCAGACATCAAGCCTGGGATCCTGGGGGGCAGCAACATCCCAAAGCCATCTCACTACCCCATCCCACCCAGTGACCCCCAATGCCACCCCCATGGAGCATATGGAAGAGGAGATCACAGCATTGCAGCAGCAGCATATGGAGATGGCACAAGATCTCCTGGATACCTGCCACAAGCTTGCCAATACCCAGTGGGCCCTTGCAGATACCCAGACTGAGTTGCAGATGCTTTGCAATCTTGTCAAGGCCTTACACCAGTGCCTGTACCCATTGCCACACTCCTCACCTGATGCACCTGGACCCTCCCACCCCTCCCCCATCAGCTTTGCAATTACATGTCATCAAGCAGTCATTCCCACTGATGGTGCAAGGATACTTGACCTTGCACCCACTATGATGGTCCAGGAGGTTGTGATTGATACCAGCATCCTCCAGAACCTCCCAGGTGATATGCTTGTAGCCCCTTCTACATTCCTGCCACCCCCCCCCCCACCATTTTGCATACTCATCCACCCCTGATGTAGGAGAAGCCTGGCCCCCTATCTATGTCTCTTTGGGGGCAGTTGCTGACCATGCTGGTGGAGATGATGCCAATGATGAGGATGCTGCTAATTGGATGGATGTAGATTAACATGTCCATAGAATGTACTATTACTGTTTCATTGTTGCTATTCCTGAGAATCATCATCCCCACCCACTTTTGCTTTACATGGTGCAGATATGGTCTCTCTGGTGTGTGCCATCCCATTTGAGTCTGGCCAGGTGACTGGCCTTGTGATATATAAATCCACTGGTACAGCTAAGCTAGTGCACACTGGCAGCACCCTCAACTCATGCATGATACTTGCCACATATGTCCTGCACAATTGCAAGGGTTTAACCCTCTGACCCAGGTTATGGCTGTGCAATCATGGCCTATGCTGCTTAATGCTGATGCTGCCAGTGAATAGCACTTGATGTTGCCCATTCCTGTCTATGCCACTCAATGCTGGTGACACCTGACCCCTGCCACTACCATTCCCATGTATGCTGCTGTGAGTCAAAGTGTGGAAAGGTGGTGAAAACCAACCAAAACCAACACCAAAGACAAATATGAGCAAGTGGTAGTTTACCTCTGTGGAACCTGGAGGGCAGAGAAACCTAAAGTGGGGGAAATTTTGATGGCAGGTGCTCCTAGTGCAAGTCAACAATGAGTTATGCAGGAGAAGATGAATGAATGCTGATTGAGAAGGGGATGCTGAACAGAGTGAAGGTGTTCAGCCAAAAGTACTTGGGAGTAATGGACTTCAATAGAATATGCTCCTGGCACAAGTTGATGACAAGTTATGCAGGAGTGGATGGATGACTAAGCAGACTTACTGACTAAGTGTGGATGAAGCTTCAGATAATGATGGAGGTAGATAGACCCCTTTGTAGAGCCTCAACTACCAATGATATGAATGAAGACAGATAGACTCTTCTGAATGAGCCTCAACTGTCAACAATGAGTTGTGCTGAGTTGAGCTGAACTGACTGCTGAGTGAATGGCTTCTGGTTCACTGGAGGTGTAGCTAAGTACATGGGGGTTTATATACTGTGGGGGGAGCACAGCTTGTGACAAACAAGGCACAAACACTTGGTAAGTAATGAGTAAGGACTGAGTAATCATGATGAGTAAGCAAAAAATGAAAAATAAGCAAGCAAAGAAGATTGGTAAGTATTGGCAATAGATGAGTCAAGGACAGTCAAAATATCACAGAATGAGTCAAATGGAGTCAGAAACTGAGTAAGCACACTGATATCACATTAGGGGGTGGCAATGCAAGTCAGATCTTGGTGGAGACATCTCTAGATCCAAAGATGGCATGACAGATGGACAGTGTTTCCAGATAGGGAAGTATTAATTCCAGAATTGAAGGGCATGAGTCAGGTGTCAAAGGGGCTAGGGCATTGGGGGTCTGTGGGGCAATGGGAGCATAAGTGATTGTGTCTCCCACCCTTTCATCCTCTCAGCAAAGTTAACAAAAGCTTCATGAATGGGGCTCTGACAGAGGAGGAGGAGAAGGGGGGACATCTTCTGCTGGACCTTGCAGTAAGAAGGCAAGATGCACATCATACTTGCCATGAATGCAATCAGGGAGGCTGGAGAACAGTAGACTATGCTGCAGCTGTCACAATGTGGGAAGAATGATGGACAAGATTGGAATAAAGATGGTGCAGGGAGCAGGGAGGAATGATCCATATGCTTCATCAAGAGGGGAGATCAAAATGACCACATAAGACCTTTCTAACTGAGTGACAGACCTGAGGCAACCAAAGAACATCCTTCTGGAAGTCATACTGACAAGGAGAACATGCTGACCAAGCTGCATGGGATGAGATGGGGCTGACAATGATGGGATGAACCAGGGGGCTTCAGGATGGAAGCTGGTGGGAATGCCTGGCAGATATACATAGCCACTGTCTCTGGAAAATGAGACAAGCAAGATGATCAATGAAGAGGCAGCCATAATTGATGGACTTAGCAAAATGAGCATCTGATGGATGGAATGCTGTAGAAACATGCAGGGTGTGAGGATCCTCTCCAAATTTGGAAGGCAGAACCATGTGGCTGAGCACTTTAAGCAAGTGTGAGAACAGAGTCAATATCTTTGGAAATGGTGGAGATATGACAAAAACCAGAATGCCATACATGGGTGCTAAAAACCTTTAATGTGTGCTTAACTCACTTCCTCTTTTCTCTTTAGCACTGATGACTTGTTCTTGTGTGAAGGATGACTGTTAACATCCAGCAGTCTTTCTACACATGAGACTTTAGTCTTCATCTGCATGGCATGGGCATTGCACACAACTTGTTGACAAGTTAGGCAGAGTCAGCTGTAACCATGTCCACAACACCTTTGGTGTGTGACACCACCACTCATTCCCCTCTATGCTGCCTGATGCCATTGACACCCACCCCTGCTGGCACCTCACATCCATGCTGCCAGCCCATTCCCAACTATGCTG